TATACCGACGCTTCGCTGCCACGTGACCACCACTGGTCGGGCGTAGGGCGAGTATACCGCGAATACATCCGCCCCTACGCAGATTCGAGTCGGTGACTTAAAGATTGCAAGCCAGGTGCGCAATGTTTTCGGCCACCGGCCCCAACCAGCTTTACCAGTGATTTCGATGTCATCGTCTTCGGATGCGTGCAACCAAAAGCGAGAGGACAAGCCGGGCGCAGTTACTTCCACAACGCTGTGAAGGTCACTGATGCTGGTTTCGGATAAGCAACACACGTCAATACCCAACGTGTTTAATGTAAGTGTGCTAATGCAGCTTGTTGACCTATTTGTCGTAGAGTGCAAACGTAGAACGGCGCCAGGGAAACGGGATAGCGTAAACTTATAAGGGACAGTTGCCGATAGGCGTCCAGTGGGTGGTGCGGGAAGGTAGCTGCAAATAGTAGGATTTCAGTGGCGTTGAGGATGCTGTCAACTATACTGGGAATTATAAAAGGAAGATTAGTAATGGGGTTGGGAGAGGAGTAAGAAAAACAGGTGAAAAGAAAAGAATGGAGGCGTCAGCAGTAGCATGTTTTCGCTTATCCACCCTGCTGTATGCAGCAAATAAGGCAACTCTTGATAAATCGCGCGACGGCCCATGCAGGATGCAGTTGAAGTTCGAAGAAATAGTCGCATGTGGACTGAGATACTGAGAGGGTGTCCAGACCCAGACAGGAGGACGATTACGGTCCTCAATTAAAGCGTTTGGCTTAAAAGTCAGTCCCCGCAAGACTGCGGAGAGGTGGCATTCAGTTTTACAGAAGTGGACGCCATCCCATTTCAAACCCCCAACCTGAATGACCAGGAGACAAAGTTTGTCTGACCAGTAATCATTGACCAACCTGGATGGAGTAGCAGCTCTCAAAGCGCCCGGGGGCACCATGCAGTAAAGCTCAATGGGCCGAAGAGGTACACAGACCGCCGCACCATGTTAGGGTGCAGTCTCGTTGCGACGGTATGCCACAAGTACTATGCACGCCATCTCCGTAGCCAAGTAACAATTATCAGCTGCCTATGACGGATACTCAAGGTAGAAGGTACAGATGCAACGACGAAATGCGTCCAGAAAGACAAAACGGAAACGCCAACCGAAAAAGTTTGTGCGGCTCGAATAGGTATCAACGGGTTGTTAGTCAGTGGTCAAAAATTGACTAACAGGAGCAAGTAAGGATGTGATGCGCTCTGACGCACCAGCTCATAAACTCACATACACAGATAGCATCTCTGCTCGAGAAAGTATAGTTTCGGTTCGTAGAAGTTAGTTATGTCCACGGAGAGTGAGGTATAACCGGTCGGAGCAAATTAATAACCAGGAGTAAGTCTTGGGTGTCGCACATTGCTAACACAGTGTACCAAGACTGCTTACTTCTATACACTATATATGTGAGGCTACCATGGGCCAAAATTTATTGGATGGTTGGATGGTGAGTTCTGCGTGCAAGAGGTTAAGGGGAAAAGTGTGGACTCACTTTTCCCTGAGTCTGGAGGAAGGTGGACAAAAACTGTGTAGCCGCTTGTACGAAATCTGCCAAACGGGCTGCATCCACACGTTCGAGTTCCTCTTTGACCACTTTTGAGACTTTGGTGAAATTTTCTTCTTCGATTTCCGAGCGATTCCGTAACTAGAGAGTAAAAAGGAGTAAGTAAAATTGAGAAAATAATGGGACTTCCGTCTATTAATTCATTTCGGAGTGAACAATGAGAAGACCGAAAATACTGAATCGATAGATTTCGGGACGAAAAACAGCAAATCTCGAACCATGACCGATAAGTTTGTTATGAAAATGCGCTAATGGAAACAGAGCTCACGAATAAGTCTGCACTCGAAACCGAGGCGAAACTCAGACTCGTAATGAACCAGTGGAATTCGACGTGAGAACGGAGGTTAAACTTACAGGAAGAGGAAGTATGTGAGTAGAGAAGAAGGTAGTAGGCTAAGTAGAGAGAAGATATCGTCTGTCAAATGTAAAGATGCGGACAAATCCATACAAATGACCAGCTATTGCTAAACAAAAGGGACTGTTTACAGGTGAGAAACTATGCACTTTCTACCACACTAGTTGGAGATATATGGAACCCTTTTAGACGCTTGCAAGTAAAGGAGACTCCAAAAAGCCTCGCTGACAAAAAGTCAATACGTGAGACCTAGCAGCTAGGAAACCACAGAGTGGAGACAACTACGGAGCTTCGGGTGAACAAAACCTTAAAGAGAAGTAAGTCTTTTAAATGGAAGTATGAAGTTGCAATCGCCCGTGAAATGGTCCTTCTTATACAATAAGGCAGTCGTCTTTCAGCCCAGGGAGAACACACCGATAGTTCAGCAGAATGAGGAAAAGGGGAATTCCATTGGTAAATGAAAGCAAGGGGATAGAGATTCAAAAGGAAGGCGCAAGGTAACGGTTATTGAAAGCAAAGCGAATGGTCCTAAAACATTATATACTGCGCTTGGAGACAGATGAATAGATAGGGCACAAAACGTATCCGAGTGGGTAGACTACGAGTATGAGATTTGACTAATAACTTGGATGGGATTCCACTTTCATCAAGCCAAGTGACGATCCAAAGGCATTGCACATGATGTGTAAAAGCGAAATAAGATCATCAAAATAGTTCCCGCCTTGAAGGCTTACGCAAGCAGTGCGCGGAGCTACTGTTTCAGCGATTTTACACGAAATTGCTTACGAGATGCAGCCTTAGTTAAATATATTGAGATCTATCTCTGGGAGTATGTGGTTTCAAGTCCACAGATGATGACCCAATGCTACGCATTGTAGATACCACCTTGTTTGATGATGAGAGGTAAGCAAGCTCGGCGAATCCACTGAACACTTGAAAAAACGATTGCGCATTAACTGAAAATAATCACGAAGGACCTTATGCCCGGAATGTTATCTTGGTTCAGAGCAACAGAAAAGCAACGCAAGATTTGAATTATTTAAAAGAGATTATCCACTAATCAAACGGAAGGCGGCAAGAATCCCCCATTGCGACTCGAAATGCATGAGACCGTATCGCCGTCACCTGGACTACTAAAACGATAATCATTCAAAAATGATGAGTGTCGTCACCAGCAAATTCTACACTCGGAAACGGGTTTTGCACACCGCTTGGCTTGGTAGATGGACACGAAAAAAGTGAAAACGGTTAGGAGGCGAATAGTACGCATCTCCGTCATCAGCGGGGAGAGGCTGGGTAATACCTATAGAGCATTTGACGATAAAATAGATTGAAGTGTTGATTTAGAAATCTTTACATGGAAGAATGGTGTGATTGCGCTTCCTGAGCAGCAAGAAAGTGTGGCACAAAAGTTCTTAAAAGGGTAGATACACAGCGCCAAGGTACGCGCAGTACTGTCGTGCTGCTGTGCAGCCTAATTGTCGTCTTGAAAAATCAAGTTAATTAGCTATGTGTATTTAAAGGTTACTGACTTTGAATCAAACGCACTGGCAGTGTGGACAAGCACTCCTCGGCGGCTGCTAATTTACCACGTTGTCAAAAGTTGAGCGGCAGAGGACTGTTTAGGTGTCCAACAAAGTAATATGGGAGCAGGGAGATAGTGTGTAGCATGAAGGGATAAACAGAGTAAGACCAAGGTCATCTTGTGCCAGTCTTTGTCGAAAAACGGATTAAGGGAAAGCAGAAGGGCAGCGGATGCTGACGGAATAGCTGACAGTAAATATAAGTGGACGACATCAGAAAATCGAAACTGAAAACATTCTTCGGCTACTGTAGGTACCCGAGTGACGGTATATGATAAGAAGCGGGAGCTGTTGGAAGAAACAGCAATTACCAACTCCATTCGGTTGACTGAGTTGATATAGCACTCAGAAAAAACACGGATTCAGCGAAACTGGAAAAGTACAGCAGTACTCAGTAGAAAGTATCTAGGATTATACCTCTTCGAGTTCGGCGTCAAGAGCCATAATCCTCTTCGGTTCATTCCTGCCGGACAACTCCGAGCGAAGCTTCTGTTCTTGTTTAGCCTCAATCAACGCACAGGTTGCCTTCCAATCACGAAACAATTTGAGACGTTCAGCCACAGCCTCCTAGAAATGAAGTGAATAAATACAAGGAGGAAAATTCCGAGTAGAAAGAAAATGAGCTCAGTGCCACCTCGGAAACACACACTGAGGTGGCGTAGTAAGTGGACAGGGGCTGCAACCGAATAAGAATACTTCTGTTGAGCTGTAGGTTGGGAAACTAGCCAATAAAACATATAATCAATTGTGCTGTATCCGATGAGTTGAAGGTTTGTTGGTTACAGTAGCGAAACGGAGGGCAATTCTGAACGTAAGGCGGTTGGATGCAAGCGAATAAATTACAGGCGCAGGGTGTGAATACCCGTCAAGATGATGTGAGGTGATTAGAAAATGTGAAATGAGTTCTCCGTTACAAGGAGTAAGGAACCTCAGACTAGACGCTACATGAAGATATGTAACACGAGTGCCGAGCAGGTGCGCAGTAATGTGTCAGTGAAGTCTACGGAAGTGGTGAGCCAGAAAGCTTGGACTGATGTGCGTCAACTCCGAGTGATAGTAATATGGCCAGGCTGAATTTCCCATCCATGCTCGGTGAATACCAAGTGACGTGATGAGAAGATAAGTTTAGTGGTTGACATACAGATGGAAAGTCTAATGTCTAGTGCAGCAAGGAACAAACGATGCTCTGAGCAGAATGCCACGTACAAAACTGGTGTTAGCAAAAACCAGGTTAAGAGAGGTGATTGAAGTGTAGACTTTTGCGCCAGCGATGCGATGGAACATGGACAACGCTGGAACCACTAAAAGTATGGCAGTAACAAACAAAATATGACAACTCTTCAGGAGAGGTCGTTCATCCGTATACCATTTGGTAAACGATGAGAGGGCTAGTTGTGGTAGCGGGGTGCAAAAAATGATCTACTCGAACAACAGACTAGTTTGACCACAAGCATCAAATTCAAAGTTGAACAGTGGATCCAACCACCCGTTTCTGCTTAACAACTGATTCAATACCTTCGAATGGAACATAGAGTTTTGCAGACACAGCTAAGAGAATCACAAAGGTGCGAACATAGTCACAAGCTAATCGGCAATCTCCGGGTTACAATAACTGCTTATCATTCATGGCACAACGATCAGCTACGGGTGATGGGCAGAAACAACTCGGTTAGCAAAAAGCGGCATCTGTAGCGCTATGAGCCAAACATGGCAATATATATTGCTAGCACCGTGGAATCGAAGTTCATTGACACCGGTTACGAATAGAGTGAGATATTTTACAAAACCGTCCCATCCACTAAAATGTAAGCTGATGTCAGACCATACAGGCACCTCAGAAAGCGCTTTGCTGCAGACTCAAAGTAACGGATGTGCTAAGCCAAACATGAGTGGTGCACTCAGAACACAGTGGGGATATGCATAAATCGATGTCCACAAGGACTTAGAGGAATGTGTCCAAAATGACTTCTATGCGTGGCGCGACTAGAACTGGTCCTAGGCCACCGTTGCAGCAAAATCGGGATCAAAAGGATAAGGAATTGTGTATAGGGTAGGTGTTCCAACATACAGTATATCCAATAGCGAAAAGAATAGGTGATTATGATGCGGAAAGAGGAGAGTTATTTGGCACCCAAAAAGGGTCTGACAGAGGCTTTTAGCTTTCGACCTATAACCCGATCAACAGGGAGGCGAAGGAGTGTGGAAATTTCAGGGAGACCCAAACGCGTTCAATAAAGACAAGAGGCTGGGGTGGTTTACAAGCACTGTTGTGGATATCACTGCAATTGTGGATACACGATACTGCATCGTTTAGTGTACCAAATGCTACGGATCCAACACCACAAAGGGAGGTTTACGCACGTAGGCACTGTGCGGCTTCGTAGTTATGTGTGAGGCTTGCCATTCGAGAATGGTCCAAAAATTTGGACGCAGCCGAAATGTGGAAACCACTGCATATTTTAGATATTAATACACTTAGAAAGTTAGGTATGATATCGTGGTTCGTGCTACATACTACCTGTTTCCATTTCTTTTTCGTGCGTTTCAATTCGCTGGCAATGTACATTAGAAAAAAGGAGGGTTAAGTACGCTCTGATACGACGCCATTATAATGAAAAAATGGGCAGTGGCTGTCCACAAACATGAAACCGTGGTGATCTACAGTGGTCTGTGAGAAGCATTCAACTCCAACACCAGCTAAGATGACATTCTTAGTTAAAGTAAAACGATTCTCAGAATAAAACTGCACTTTGTGTGGGGCGTAGAATTCATCCTTTCATCTAAGACGATGAATCAATAATTTGTCACAAAGCGCAGTTAAAACCATGGTTTTGGTTAATACCGTGTGCTACTACAGCAGTCATAGGGCGTGGGTGAGATACAGGTAGTCCACCATATAGGGTATCAGGTGCCGCGATCCGGTTCTGGATTGGATGATCAGTACCAGCTGGAAGTTAGTGACACGAGTGGCATCAGGCAGCAAACTAGTTGATTAGATAGGGCAAAAACACCCAGAAGTAAACAGTACATTGTTGCACAAGTCACTAAACCGGCAAATATTCGCACATAGTAGAGAGTTGATGGTGGTGTAGGGCTTCGTGCTTATCCATCCCGTTTCGCAGTGATGCAAGGCGGTAGTAGGCGTAGGAGACAGTCCAGAGGAATTGTGCGTACTCCATGAATCACTCTCTGCTGTCAAACAGTCAAACCCCGAGAAGTAGTTAACATCAAAGAGAGAGCAACGATCCTTGACAACTTGATACGGCGCAAAGGAGGAAGGACCTTAAGGTGTTCTTCACAGTTCGTCCCATCTGCGGATATGCGCAGAAAAGTCAAGCCAGTAATTTCCCCTCCTATCGAATGTAGTGTGATGGCTGCAGGCATCCGATTCCGGAGTTAACTGTAACTGTGGATCCGCTTTGGGACAGTCACACAATGCCTGCGTCTACACAAGGACCATAGGTGGCTTGCGCTGCACCACCTACAACTCCATCCAAACACCCCATATCCAGTGTAAATCAGAAGGAATAAGGCCAGAAGCATACGGAGGAGAGCCATGTTTCATCAACGGAGCCGGCACACACTTCTTAAGCATGCACAGCAGCAGCATTTTTGTCTAATTGCGGAGTCATGTGTGCCACACGTACACAAGGCAGTGGCTGAGCCGCAGCCCGCTCCACATTCGATGGGAACACTTGGAGTCAAACATGCCACAAAGACCTTGTACCCCATCTCCCCCAGCAACGACCAACTGTCTCATGGAGCCCCGCTGCCTTGCGGGCAGGTTATTTAGCCAAAGACTCGGGGTGAAGTCCCCTAAGCCAACTCCCTACTTCGGCTTGGGCAACGGGGTGGTATCACACCCCCTGGAAAAACCATAGACTGTTCAACTGCAATATCGCTCTCAGCTGCTTTTGCTCCTGCTAAACACTCACCTTCACACGCCACCTGTTAATTTGTTACCACTCAGTATTATCCGTTACCAAATGCTTCTTGTTTCCATGATTCTACTCCGGGTGGTTTCGTCGATACCCAGAGAACTAGCCCAGCAACACTCCTTCGGCCTCGGTATTCGTTCCGTCTGGCATGCCTCAATGTATGTACACTCATGTATATCGGGCAGCAACCTGGTCTTGCGGAGACCCTGGAATCCCTCGCTATCGATGTTTGCTGTCTTTTCGAAACGCGTTTACAAGATCCCAGTACTGTGACTGAGTTCAGATCTCCCACCGACCGCAGAGCCATATTTCACCTACGCCTAGCTGGTGACACAGAAGCAGCTGCGGCAGGCTTGACTGGCGTTGGTGTAGCGCTAAGTAGCAAAGCCGAGGCAGCACTATTGGACTGGTTTCCCATTAATAGCCGACTGTGTGCAGTTGGGCTTCATGGATCATGCGAACTAAACCGATGTCTTGAGGAGAGACGCGACTTGTCTGTGATTCCACTTTGCGCTCCAAATGTTTGTAATTCCGACTCAGTCAAGAACGATTTCTACCATGAACTTCATCAGCTCATGAGCATATCCTGCCAATGCGACATCCTTGCCCTTACTGGGGATCTCAATGCACGGTTCTGTCGTCTGCTGTCATGCGAAAGTCATTTCGGTGGTCACCATGTGCTCGATGACAGCCACTCAGATAATAGAGAGACTTCTTACACTGTGCGACGATAATCATCTTTTTCTCTCGAGCACCAAATTTCGGCATTCAAGGAAACGTTCCGCTTCTTGGTGACCCCATTCCGCGTCTCAAGCAGCATCTCAGATTGATCATATCGCAATCAGTTTCAGATGAAGGGGCAGTGTAAAGGATTTCAGATCCATCTGGTCCACTTTCCTTGACTCAGACCATGCTGTTGTCTGTGCGAACATCTGCATGAGTTTGCGAGGGTCCCGAAAAGGAAGCACTGTAAGATAGACACAAATAAACTATCTACTGTTTCGGTTCAGCAGAGTTATCAAGCTTCCCTGGCTGATGCACTCGGCTGCGACCCACCGCAAGATATTGATGAACACTGGATGTGCATGCAGAGGACCATGATCTCTTCCGGACAGCAAGTCTGTGGTCTTACTCAGCACACTATGAAGGCCTGGATCTCCACGCGCTCTTTGGATTTATTTGACCGCCGCAGGAATATCCCAGCGGAGTATAATCATGATGAAGTGCGCCGTTCTGTCAGTTGGCAGCTCAAACAAAGCCTACGCAGTGACTGTGAAGCCTGGTGATCCCAGCGTGCTTCGGAAATGGAGCCCGCTGTCCTCTCTGACAATACTCGCAACCTTTTCTAGCTTATTCAATCCACTGGCTACAGAAAGCCTGGTGTCAGTGAGACTATATGCGAGGCGAATGGTTCGCCGATTGTCAACTTACAAAGACGCTTGGACCGATAGGCCGAAGATTTTCATTCCCAGTTCAGTTGACCCTCACCGTCCACTTACATGCCCTGCGAACCCAGTTGCCCGCCCTGGGTCGTCACACTTGATCCACCCAGCGAAGCGGAAGTGTGTCTTGCGACTTGACATCTAAGACGATTCAAGGCTGTCGGGTCAAACGGACTTCCTCCGGAGCTGTTCAAATATGGAGGCTCAGTTATCGTTAACCAGTTAACCTCATTGTTCTCCAAAATCTGGCATAAAGAAAATGTGCCTTCTTCCTGGAGCGAGTCAGTTATTGTCGCGATTTTTAAGAAGAGTCCTCGCACTTCGTGTACTAATCACCGGGGGATTAGTCTCATTTATGTTGCCTCCAAGCTATTGGCATCCATTCTACTCCGCAGACTATCTCCCATTCGCGAATCGCAGTACCGGGAAGAACAAGCTGGCTTCCGACCTGGTCGCGGGTGTGTGGATCAGATATTCACACTCAGTCAATTCCTGGAACATCGTCATCTTTACCAGAGGCCTACCATCGTTGCATTCCTGGACATCCGTGCCGCATTGGACTCGGTCGATCGAACTGCACTATGGGGTTGTTTGCTAAGGAACGGTGCCTCAGAAAAGTACACTACTATCACACGCGCACCGTATTTCCACATCTCTGGCAGAGTGAGGGTGTATGGCAGGTTTTCGTTGTCCTTCGCTGTCAATAACGGTGTACGACAAAACTGCCTTATGTCCTCGTTCCTCTACAATTTTGAGACTGAAGACATCCTGTCGACAGATCTAGGCGGTTGCCAAGATTTTGGTATACAGCTATTACTGGGGAAGCGAGCAACCGACTTAGATTATGCCGATGATATCGCCTTACTTGGTGAGGACACACAGAGCATCCAAAGCGTTCTAGACCGCCTGGCGATTGAGGCATCTAGGTACGGCATGTGCTTTGCCCATAAAAGTGTAAAGTGCTGCTTCAGGATTGGCACCCAACTGTTCCTGTGCTCAATATTGAAGGTACACAGCTTGAACAAGTGGATAGCTTTGCCTACCTTGGCAGCTGTGTCTGCTAGTGGTACCATTAGAAGGGAAGTTTCTCTTCGCATCGCCATAGTTCGGTCGGCGTTTGTCAAACTGCAGCAGTTGTAGAGTCTCCGGGATATCTCCCTCTTGGTAAAGGGTGGTGTTTACAATGCCACCGTTCGGGCGGTGTTGCTATATGGAAGTGAGTCATGGTCAGTTCGCGTAGACGATATGCGCCGGCTCTCGGCCTTCGACAACGGGTGCTTGAGGAGGATTGCTCGTGTGCGGTGGAAACAACACATTGGCAACAGTGAAGTCAGACGTCGTGTCTTAGGGAATGCGAGCATTCCCTTCAACAAGCTGGTTTTGCTGCGCTAGTTAAGATGGCTCGGTCATGTCTTGCGTATGCCAGCTGAGCCTTTGCCATATCGCGCTCTGTTTGCTCGTGCAGGATTCAACTGGAAGAGCCGACGTGGTGGTCCACCATCCACATGGCGACGGCAAATGAAATCGTTGACTTCACGTCTTGCCACCATTGGATCCACACGTCTGCCTGGTTGGGGACCAAAGGAAGAGGAGTGCCGATGGCTGGAAACAATCCAGGATATGGCTCTTAATCGAAACCAGTGGAGGATCTGTGTATATAACTGCTTAGATTTGGATACTTAATGCTTAAAGATTAAAAACGACAAAAAATTAAAAATGGCGTGTGCAAAATAACAAAAAATGCTCCGTTGTTTTTTATATTGCGGCACAATAGCTGAAGTGTGTTGCTCACCTTCAGTTAATGTGCCATGATGTTGATACGGTGTTCAACCTGTCTTTTTTAGTGATTTCCATGGTTATGTTTGGCTCTATGTCCATTTGACAGACTGCTGACTACATTACTACCACTACTCATGGAGCCAGTATAATTGTGGTAACAATTTTTCGGCAGGTATGCACTTTGTCAACATTCATGTCAAGCGCAGCCACACCGAGGATATCAACAACAAACACAGAATACGAAAGAGAAGACAAACGCAGACTGGAGGGTAAACATGCGGCAGAATGACAGAATAGAGTAAAGCAAAAATGCGCATTAAGTCGGATCTAGTGTAAAAGTGATCTTGGACAAGTGCAAGCTCAAGTTAGAGAATAGCAACCAGTTAACACCGAGAATGAAGAAAACGCAAAATACAGAGGATCAACAGAACTGAAACAGTAAAATAGAATGGATACAGTAAGATCTAGGGTAATGCTGACTAAGCGTAAGTGGAAGTCACTCTAGCCCAGCTGCGGTAAAGGAACACAATACATGCAAAATCAACATCAGCATGAGGCATACTATGGCACACCACCTACATAAATGGTCCATATAAGTACAGTGAAACAAGTTACATATGACAGTTCAGAGTCGAAAGAAAATTTCCATCCAAACTAGAAAAAAAGTGTAACGAATGAGTAAAGGCCGACTACCGGAGACAGTCGCCGCCAGCTCCAAAAACGCCTGTCGTATTAGGTGAGAAAATCACTGTGGCAGTGACACCATGATCCATAGATGGCCAACAACTTCTTATTCTTGCGAGCTAACGAGAGCGCAATCAATGAATGCCAGACAGCACTTCGTCTTAGACCAAAAGATCGATGAGCCGGGAATTGATTCGATTACTAACACTTGTACAGAAGCAGCGTTCTGGAGCAAACGAGTAAGCGAAAACGAACAAGCAATTCACCTTTGACGCCTGAATAAGACCGAGACTATCCCTCGCGCAATCGGCCAAAGTAGTCAGTTTGGCTTCTGCTAATGCTGAGTAGTGCTGACTCATCTCCTCCTCGGTGTTTGCAAGACTTCCCAGAGCTTGAGCAAGTCCGGTGTGCTCTTCAATATTGGCCAGCTGAGAAATGGTGTGTGAAACTGCGAACCTCGAGACTGCAAGACCTGTGGAATTGGTGAACGAGAAGCCGTGGCAAGAATATGGAGGCTGTCGGGATGTTGCACGGACATTAAAGCTGATAATTAGCAGAAATGTACTAAAACCAAGCCAACGGGCAGGTCAGGTGTAGTAGTTGAACTATTTGCGACTAAAACATTTGTTCCGAGTAAAGATAACAGATAAAATGGCTTTAAGCCGAATAATTAACTGAAACTGTGTCCTGCTTTCGACTTAACACAGAAAGTCTAGCTTTGGCAAAACTAACTCTATCTATGCCTATCGGTTACTGTTAGTGGTATCAAGGAGACAATACGAAATGCACGCATCTGCCAGCTTAGGACTTCTTTTCTTGTTTTTCAAAATGTTGTAGGGAACTAAGTGATTAACAAGAAACTAGAATATAAACGGCCTGCTAAAGATAACAAACAGAAAGAAGATAATGTCGTCATTCCGTGAAATCTCATCCAACCAAATTATGCAACAACAACAGCTATACCAAAACAGGGTCAAATGATATCCGTAGATGGCCAAATGCTTTGCGTTACCGAATTAGGAAAGTTACCGAAGGGCGAGTAAGTGCATCACGGAATACGGCGTACAATGCGGTAGAACCGCGGGTATTTACCTCGACGAGACGAATGCTTTTCTGCTAAATTAAAACACCAATGATGAGGCAGTGCATAACCCACTGTCCACAAAAATTCACTGGCACCTTGGGGACGGCTACTCTGGGTGAAACGACTGTCGTTTAGGCGTTTTAATCAATGACCACAGCTCTAAGTGGTGATGAAGTTGGAAGAAATCGCCAACAGTGGAACGGCTTGAATCTAGAAACCGAGCTGTCTCGGAACTAACAAGGCACGTCTTGAGCACTGCTCAGAGAGTCATATGTGATGAGTCGTTCACCGTCCTAATGTTTGATCAGTAGCCCCACATTCCCAGGATAATGGAAACCATGGTCATCGATCGGAACGCGCACCGTTGTGTTCAGAGACAGTTAATGGTGCTAATCAAGCTGCTTCGTGGCGCGAACCGCTTGATCATCCACCGGTATCATATGACCCTAGTTGGGCATATCCATCAAGGTTGCACGTCTGTGATTGATAAGAACACCCGAAATGATGACATCACCACACAACTAACATCCGATTTGCCTGTTTGGTATTATTAATGGAATCTCTTGGTTTAAATAAGAGTGGGTTTGAAAGAACCCTAAACAATGCAATCAGATCGAAACGACGGAACGAAAGTGCACTGGAGGCTTTGATTGGAAAACATTCATCGTACCTTGGCAGCTTGCAACCAAAGAGGAAAGGGAAGAGTGAAAACGTTTCATCTGACGCTCCCATGTATCCAGTTCTTCACTCTTCTGATCAAAATACTACAAAAGAAGTTGACCGCGAATAGCTGCGCAGTTTCAAATATGTGAACAAGAAGGCGATCCACGAGAAAAGATGTCTAAAGTAATATTGTGCCATCCTGTTGCAAATAGGGACCATAACAGTTATATTGGAAACATTTGTACACAATCTAAAAGTGCAAAGTGAAGGATTGTCATTATTATAGGTTGTGTATGATTGTTAGGAGACTTCGGATAGTAGATGTGATGAAGATTAACATTAACTTAAAGAAGAGAAGACAAAATTTGCGACATTACCGAAACGTTAATGAGTCTATCCATACAAAACACTAACCGTTCACAAATAATACTAACCTCCTCGGGATCATCTACACGGAAAGTAATCTTTCCTAGGGAGTCACCAAAACTCTTGAGCATTTTCCTTGCAGAGGAACCGGAGAGCAACTGCGCGCCGGAAAATCTAGGAAGTTCCCCATCGAGAACAAGGAATTCTCGCAAATCACTATCACCTTGTAGTACCGGATGGGTGAGAAGTCGAAACATGAAACTGCCAGGAAATCAAATAAAACTGATAGTTACCGCTCAAGAGACATTCGCCTTCGCTCAATGAACTCAGTTTCCACCAATGAATCTTTGGAGATTTTCATCTTAGTTGAGTCTACAAAAGCAATCAAAGAAAAGCAAGTGCTATACCTAAAACATGTTTATCAGGAGCCGGAGGTATGACGACGCCAGAGCTTCGATACCGATTGGAAAGCTTTGTGTGGAGATTCAAAAAGTCGGAAAACCGACGAGTAACGCGCGAATCAATGCTCTCGAACGGAGGCCCAAGGCCCTGAATCAACCATCAAAAGTTTGTATGATTTACCTTGAAAATGAGTTGGTAAGTGATATACGCACCCATCCCATCTCCCACCTTGCAAGGGTCGGTGACTCTCAAGCAAAACAATTCCGAACGCTGACACTAATAAACAATGTGAGTGGAGAACCGCACACCATCTTGGTTTTTCAATCTGTATAAAAAATTATCCAGAACCAGCGGCTAAGTTAGACACGTCGTTGGAAAGTGAGTGGGGTGAAGTTAATTGTGAAGAAGCCAATCAATATGATCCTTTCACCTGAAAGCAGAGGAAAATGTGACTTCAAGAAATATAAACAAGCCTACGAATAACAGCACCAACGAAAAGACTATGGATGCATAATCCTTGTGCGGAGAATTAAGGACATGTAAGGCAGACGCAGCTCCTTCCTAAACATGGATGGTAGTTGGGACAAGTGATCAGAAATGAAATAAAAAAGTTGTCTAGTGCACAAAGGTTCTGTTTCCTTGTTTGTAAGGACATAGAAAGGTCAGCGCGGACATCATCATCACGTGGATCCATCGAAGGTCTTAAAAGTGCCATTGATCAACCGCAACTAGAAATTGCTGGCAATCAGTGAGGCATCACTGATTGCCGTAAACCGGCCGGTACTGTCTGCGCAAAAGCAACTGAGACAATCTATCAGATTGTCTTGGTCTTGATTGCTCAAATTTGACTTACCCGCAAAATTTCGCTCCACATGCACATACGTCAATTTTGTACCCAAATGTATTGTGTGTGACTGATGAGAACGATGGAAATGTTAACATATCGAAACCTGTCTTCTGTCTGCGTTGACCAAATAAATAAAGGGAACACAATGATTCACATACCCAAAGGTATAAAAACTGGGTTTACTGACCGGACTGGTCAATGAATCTAGTTTCGCGACACTGGGATTCCTCCATTTTGAGTTTGCAAGCAAGAAAACGCATAGAACATGAGTAAACAGCAAATGAAAGCTATTATGTTCCGTCGCTACATGGTGGGCCGACCCCAGTGCAATCCTACGCGAGACAGTACACGGCAGTGTGACAAACGCTTACAAGGTAAAGAGGAAACAGTATCAACATCAATGCATGTTAGCTGAGGGAGAGAAACACATCTCAGCAAAGGTGCCGCAATACAAAATGGATAAGACGCAGAAATATTATAAAATCAAGTAACATAATGATATATACCATATTCATTTTAAACTGGACTTTTTCAAACCACATTGGACATTTTGCAAAACAAACTGGACATTTTGCAAACCACATTGGAAATTTTGCAAACCAAACTGGACATTTTGCAAACCACATTGGACATTTTGCAAACCAAACTGGACATTTTGCAAACCACATTGGACATTTTGCAAACCAAACTGGACATTTTGCAAACCAAACTGGACATTTTGTAAAACAAGTTGGACACGTTGCAATCTAAGTAGCAACTGGCCAATTTGTTGGTAAGAAACGAGCAGTAAGACTGCTGAATGATGTTCAGAATATACATTGTGATGACGCTAATACACCGGCATTGTGTAAGCTGCGGGCTACACTGTAAAACATTTGCTTGATCGTGAGCAGCGACCGAAGATCTGAACTACGCTCGCCTCTCCCCATTGACATTTGCCTAGTTGGTGTGCAGTGCCCATACGCATCAACCTGTGTAGGTGTGTGACAATTGGAAAATCGGACGTCCGAATCGTAATTGTGTATCAATCATTTTGTGAGTGGATTGCGATGCGCAATCTCAATGTGCACCGTTATTCTCATTAGAGGGAACCTTGTCCGATTCGGTCAATGGGACCATGTCGGATGAAGCAGGTAGGCGGTGTCCCAGCTTCGCCCGTCTCTCTATTAGCTTTCGCAACTGCCACGTTATTGTATCAGCGTAGGCTGTAATGACCCCCAGCAAAACCAGTCTAGATCTATAGCCTATTGTTGCAACATATCAACTACTGAGGAGTGGGCCGATTACACGATGTTCAGGCCACATTGTGGTCACGATAATGTAACCGAACTGCGTACGTAGTGGGTGATTGTGTAAGCCCTTCTCTTGACATGAGTGCCGTTCGCCTCGGTCAAAATCGGTGACCTATTTTCCCCTACACCCCCCCCCATAGGAATTCGTGTGTTTTGTCTGGGTGTGTGGACTGACCTATGCAGCGGTACCACTATTGGAGCCGAGCATACGATAATGGTTCAACTCAACACAACTTAGCCTTATTAGCTCCGTGCCGCACGAAACGACCAAAATGAGTGACGAACAACGGGAGAGCTGGTGGCCGACGCGACGGCACTGCAGGCGAACATCATTTGCGCAAAGAGAAATTCTCAAAAAACTTGTGCTGGTCGACGGCAAAACTACTCGGGAAGCCGCTGAAGTCGCCGGTGTTAACGCGAGTACGGCAAGGAACATCATTAATGCCTACAAGCGAGAAGGCTCAAATACAGAGCGCACCTGCGGTGGAAACAATAGGGAGAAGCTGACTCCCAATGTATTGCAGCGTGTCGAAAAAGCGGTTGAACGGCACTCTGAGGACACGTTGGTGCAGCTGCAGATGCGCCTGAGAGAGAATGGGATAAACCTATCAGTATCCTCTGTCTTCAACGCCCTCAGAAGATAACTCTCAAAAAGTGTCATTACGAGCTCGACCGAGTCAACAGTGCCACGACAATCGCTAGCCGACAGGCGTACGCTCTCGAATTCTCGGTGACCGTCCTGCTCTTACACGCTAAGCCAACTGTTAATATTGAAAACGCACATTTTGCAATTGAAATGGTGTATTAACCAAAAATTTGGCAGTAACCATATCAAAGATCAGTTGACGAATGGTTGTCCGGCTGTCGCTTTCGTCAGGTTCATCATCGTATTGAGAACGCAGTTCATGCAGTCCTGCTGCGTTACCATCCCAACGCTGTCCTGAATGACCGTGCTCAGCGTCTGCTCAGGTGTGGGGTTAATAAGCAGGCCTCTCGCCGACGCTTTCACCTTTGAAAAGACGTGTTCTACCGGGTTTTGCATGTACGAGTAGGGCGGCAAGAACTGCAGGTGATAAGACGAACCAAGGATCCTCCTTAGCTCATCAGGCATATGGATCCTGGCATTGTCCATGATCAGCCACTATGCAGCTTATACGCGCCACCAGTTCCTCGACGAACGCTGAGAACTTCGCACCATTGCAGGTGCCATCGTTAATGATCTTTGAATGGATGACGACTTGGTTATTCATTGCAACAATCAGGGTTACCATGCGACCTCTGACTGTGGGTAACACGACGTTCACGCGCTTCACTCTTCTTGAGCGAGCCTGAGTTCGCCTCAGATGAAGGTTGAAACCACTCTCATCTATGAAGATGCATTTCTCCTTGTTAGAAGGTGCATTCGCCGAGAACTTGAGAGCGTACGCCTGTCGGCTAGCGATTGTCGTGGCACTGTTGACTCGGTCGAGCTCGTAATGACACTTTTTGAGAGTTATCTTCTGAGGGCGTTGAAGACAGAGGATACTGATAGGTTTATCCCATTCTCTCTCAGGCGCATCTGCAGCTGCACCAACGTGTCCTCAGAGTGCCGTTCAACCGCTTTTTCGACACGCTGCAATACATTGGGAGTCAGCTTCTCCCTATTGTTTCCACCGCAGGTGCGCTCTGTATTTGAGCCTTCTCGCTTGTAGGCATTAATGATGTTCCTTGCCGTACTCGCGTTAACACCGGCGACTTCAGCGGCTTCCCGAGTAGTTTTGCCGTCGACCAGCACAAGTTTTTTGAGAATTTCTCTTTGCGCAAATGATGTTCGCCTGCAGTGCCGTCGCGTCGGCCACCAGCTCTCCCGTTGTTCGTCACTCATTTTGGTCGTTTCGTGCGGCACGGAGCTAATAAGGCTAAGTTGTGTTGAGTTGAACCATTATCGTATGCTCGGCTCCAATAGTGGTACCGCTGCATAGGTCAGTCCACACACCCAGACAAAACACACGAATTCCTGGGGGGGGGGGGTGTAGGGGAAAATAGGTCACCGATTTTGACCGAGGCGAACGGCACTCATGTCAAGAGAAGGGCTTACACAATCACCCACTACGTACGCAGTTCGGTTACATTATCGTGACCACAATGTGGCCTGAACATCGTGTAATCGGCCCACTCCTCAGTAGTTGATATGTTGCAACAATAGGCTATAGATCTAGACTGGTTTTGCTGGGGGTCATTACAGCCTACGCTGATACAATAACGTGGCAGTTGCGAAAGCTAATAGAGAGACGGGCGAAGCTGGGACACCGCCTACCTGCTTCATCCGACATGGTCCCATTGACCGAATCGGACAAGGTTCCCTCTAATGAAAATACCGGTGCACATTGAGATTGCGCATCGCAATCCACTCACAAAATGATTGATACACAATTACGATTCGGACGTCCGATTTTCCAATTGTCACACACCTACACAGGTTGATGCGTATGGGCACTGCACACCAACTAGGCAAATGTCAATGGGGAGAGGCGAGCGTAGTTCAGATCTTCGGTCGCTGCTCACGATCAAGCAAATGTTTTACAGTGTAGCCCGCAGCTTACACAATGCCGGTGTATTAGCGTCATCACAATGTATATTCTGAACATCATTCAGCAGTCTTACTGCTCGTTTCTTACCAACAAATTGGCCAGTTGCTACATAGATTGCAACGTGTCCAATTTGTTTTGCAAAATGTCCAGTTTGGTTTGCAAAATGTCCAATGTGGTTTGCAAAATGTCCAATGTGGTTTATAAAATGTCCAGTTTGGTTTGCAACCGCATGTGCTACAGCACCATGTGCTCGATGTCGGCGGAGTACAACCCATGGACACCTGCCGCTTCCGCATGTTCCGCTTCTTCTGTGCATGCACGATGGCTTTCTCTTGCATCTCGGCAACTGTCTTCGTGATCAGATGGCGCCAAAAACGCCGATCAACTGCCTTCGATTCCCATGACCTGCAATCAAGATTAGAACGTGAGAGGCTCACTTTGAACATGTTCTGGTAATGTAACTTTGGTTTCCCCACATGCCGCTTCCCAATACTCAGCTGACCATAC